GCCCAGCCCGCGTCCTTGGACAGGGTCACGAGCGTTACTTCCTGCTGTGTTTGACGACTACTCGCGTTACACCAAAGTCTTCCCCTTGCGCCGCAAGGGTGAAGTCACTAAGGTGTTGATCGACTGGATCCGCGCTGCTCGTCTCCAGCTCAGAGAGAGGTTCGACTCGAACTTTCCTGATCTCCGTCTGGACTCCGACAGAGGTGGAGAGTTTTCCTCCGACCTTCTGCGAGCCTACTATCGTGCGGAGGGCATCCGCCAGACGTTCACACTTCCGGCCTCTCCACAGCAAAATGGGATTGCTGAGCACCGCATTGGCATGGTCATGGACGTCGCTCGTACGTCCATGATCCATGCGGCTGCTCCCCGTTTTCTGTGGCCGTTCGTGGTTCAGTACGCGTCGCATCAGATCAACCTTCAGCCCCGGGTCTCCATGTCGGAGACCTCCCCTACTTTGCGGTGGATGGGGAAGGTTGGCGATGCGTCTGCTTTCCGTGTCTGGGGATCTCAAGCTTTCGTCCGCGACTTGTCTCCGGACAAGCTGTCCTCCCGAGTTGTTCCCTGCATCTTCCTTGGCTTCCCCCCTCTCGCGCCTGGTTGGCAGTTTTACCACCCCACCTCGCGCCGTGTTCTGTCCTCTCAGGACGTCAGGTTTGACGAGTTAGTTCCCTACTTCCGTCTCTTCCCCTACCGCACTGCTCCCAATCCCCCCCTGCCGCTCTTCCTCACGCCAGGTCCCCCCCCGGTAGACCCCTTCCCCCCTCAGGTACCTGCCCCCTCAGGTATGTCTCAAGTAGACGCGGTCAAGCCTGTTGAGGTAGCTGGTGACTCTGGTGCTGCTAGGGGAGCTTAGCCTGCTGGTGCCGGGTCTGGGGGTGCTGAGCCTGAGCGTGCTGAGCCTGGGGGTGTTGAGCCTGGGGGTGCTGAGCCTGGGAGTGCTGAGTCTGGGGGTGCTGAGCCTGGGGTTGCTGAGTCTGGGGGCGCGGAGCCTGGGGGTGTGGGGCCTGAGGGTGCGGGGCCTACTCGTGTGGAGTCGGGTGGTGCTGAGCCTGGTGGTCCTTCGCCCCGGCGGGAGCCGCTCTCTCCGCAGGAGCTGCGCGAATGGTTTGCTAGGCGCTTGCGCCGTGCTGCTGGTGCTCGTGGTGCTTTTGGCGCTGAAGGTTCCGCTACGGCTGGAGGTTCTTCTACTGCTGGGGGTTCTGGAGCCACGGGTCCCGAATGTGCTCGTGCTGGAGGTACTGGAGCTGCCGGGCCTGTTGGTACTGCTGCTGGAGGTGCTGGAGCTGGCGGTGCTGCTGGAGTCGGTGCTGCTGGAGGTACTGGAGCTGGAGCTGCTGCGTCTTCTGGTGGTCTGACTGGAGATTGAGCTGCTGGGGGTGTTGGCGCCGGAGGTACTGCTGATGCTGGTGCTTCTGAGGGTGCTGGTGTTGGCGCTGCTGGAGCTAGGGGTGCTACTAGAGCTGGTACTGCCGTTGGGGGTGCTGGTGCTGTTCCTGCTGGTTCTGGGGGTGCTGCACGGCCGCGGCCGTACTTTGTTCCGCTCCTTGAGCAGGTTCTTGGTCTTCCGCCCTCTACAGGTCCTGCTCCTCTTTTAGAGTGTCCACCGCCTGTCCTGTCCGAGTCACAGTTACAGCCCGCCTCCTCTCTGAATTCTCCTTCTCCCTACACTGGTCCTACTGGAGGTCTTGCTGAGCGTCGTGAGCCTACGTCTCGTCCTGCGTCGCCTGTCCGTGCTGCTCGCACTGGTGGTCGTGGTTCGCGTCAGCGTCCTCCTCCTGTCCCCGGTAAGCACCGGATGTCTCTGCGTCCTTCCACTTCTCCGTTGCGTTCCCCTTTGCCTTCTCCTCCCGAGTCCTCTCTTCCTGCTCTTGCTGACCCGGAGTCGGACTCCCTTCGTGCTGCCAGTCCTACTGTCACGCGTCTCCTTGCTACTGTCGTCACTGACCCTTCCTTTGAGTCCACTGCTGCGTCTACCTTAGTTGTTGAGCTTGTCGACTTCGCTGCTCGCTGTCGTCTAGACTACGCTGCTAGTCTTGTTGCTGAGTCTGCGTCTGTCTGTCCTCCGTCCGTCGGGGGTGAGTGTGCTCTGGGCACGAACGTCCTTGAGGACAGGCAGGAGGAGTTCCAGTGTTTTGCTTCTGCTTCACCTCATCTCCTGTCCATGCTTCTTGCCCCTTAGGGAGACCCGGATGCACCAGACATCCCGACTCCGCGCTCTTACGCAGAGGCGATAGAGGGTCCCTACTCCTCTCAGTGGTAGGCAGCCATGGACGCAGAGATGGCTTCCTGGAAGTCCACAGGCACCTACGTCGACGAGGTTCCCCCACCTGGGGCGAACATCGTAAGTGGCATGTGGATCTTCAGGGTGAAGCGGCCGCCGGGTTCTCCGCCTGTCTTCAAGGCGCGTTACGTGGCTCGAGGCTTCAGTTAGCGGCAGGGAGTTGACTACTTTCAGACCTTCTCTCCCACCCCAAAGATGACCACTCTTCGGGTGCTGCTGCACATTGCCGCTCAGCGCGACTACGAGCTTCACTCTCTTGACTTCAGCACTGCTTTCCTGCAGGGTAGCCTGCACAAGGAGATCTGGCTGTGCCGCCGACCTGGCTTCACTGGGTCGTTTCCTCCTGGTTCCCAGTGGAGCCTCCGGCGGCCAGTCTACGGTCTCCGCCAGGCGCCCCGTGAGTGGCACAACACACTGAGGACTACACTTGCGGCTCTTGGGTTTGCTCCTTCTACTGCCGACCCGTCGCTGTTTCTGCGCACCGACACCTCTTTGCCGCCGTTCTACATCCTCATGTACGTCGACGACTTGGTCTTTGCCACTGCTGACACTGCTGGACTCGCCTACGTGAAGTCCAAGCTGTAGAAGAAACACACGTGCATTGAACTGGGTGAAATGCGCAGCTACCTTGGCTTGCAGATCACTCGGGACAGAGCACGCCGCACCATTACCCTGACTCAGTCACACATGGTGCAGCAGGTCCTTCAGCGCTTCGGCTTCACGTACTCCTCGCCTCAAGCCACTCCTCTGTCTACTCGCCACTCGCTCTCAGCTCTGCCTTCGGATGAGTCCATAGAGCCAAGTGGCCCGTACCCAGAGCTTGTTGGCTGCCTCATGTACCTGATGACCTGCACTTGACCTGACCTTGCATACCCTCTTAGCATTCTCGCACGCTATGTTGCTCCTGGGAGACGCCGACCAGAGCACATGGCTGCAGCGAAGAGGGTGTTGCGCTACTTGTGCAGTACGTCGGGCATGGGGCTAGTGCTTGGAGGGCGGAGTCCAGTGGTCCTCACTGGTTACGCAGACGCTTCATGGGTTGACGACTTGGCTACGCAGCGGTCGTCACAGGGTTACACCTTCAGCCTTGGTTCCGGTTCTGTTTCGTGGCGGTCTACCCGCTCGTCTTCTGTTCTCAGCTCGAGCTGTGAGGCTGAGATCTACGCAGGGGCCATGGCTGCACAGGAGTTATGCTGGCTCACCTACCTGCTGACTGACCTTGGAGAGCCGCCTCGTTCTCCTCCAGTTCTGTACGTAGACCACAAGGCCATGCTGGCCTTGTGTCGGGAGCATAGACTGGAGCACAGAACGAAGCACATTGCTCTCCGTTACTTTCTTGCTCATGAGCTGCAGCAGCGTGGTCAGCTACGACTTGCTTACGTGGCCTCGCAGGCCAATACTGCTGATATCTTCACCAAGGCACTCGCGCCTTGTGATCATCAGCGCTTCTGTACTCTGTTAAGTCTTGTACCTACTTTACCTCACTTGCTCACTTCTTGACCTTGCTTGTACTGTGATCTATCTATACCTGCACTTGCTTGTTTACCTTTATATATATAGTATTGCATGTGAACTGGCCTTGTGGCCTTGAACTTGTGCTCGGAATGTGTTGTGACGTTGTGATCCACCCTGAGCTTGCTTTGCTTGGCTGGTCTTGTGACCCCTTGTTCTCCCCCACTTTGCCTATGGGGGTGTGTGAGACTTATATGATCTAGCCTGCGTAGTCTGTAGCGGGTTAGATACTAAGGGGTACACAATTCTAGGGTTTCACATTTGTATCACTCTCATTCCTTAGTCAATCATTCTCGTTCTAATCTTCACATCTCAGTCTTGCGATCTCAATCGAAACGCATTGTGAGAGGGTCCGAAGTCAGAATTGCGCAAGGGCGATTCTCTGCTGGCGAAAAGAGCCTTGGCATGTCACTTTGCAGGCGTGCCAACGCATCCTCCTGATTGGAATCGAAGTCTCGAAGCCAATGAGGCCCACGAGAGAGTCGAACAAATTGAAAATGGATGTGACTCGCTGCAAAACTGAATTTCGTTACTGTGTTTATCAGGATTTAAAAAATACAATTATACATGCGCTCATAATAAGTCATAGTTTTACAGGGGGTGCGCTTATAAATGAGGATCGACCATAAGCGCATTGCTCCAGATACAAGCGCATTAGCTTATAATAGGCCTGCGCTTATATCCGGGGCCATACGGTAAAAAGCTTCGCAACCCTCCGACAACTTCGTTGCCTCTTGTTTTTTCTTCTTTTTTGGAATGTTGAAATGCCAATAGAAGCCAAGATATCAAAGCCGAGCATGGTCGCCTTCGCAAGTACCGTATGTCTCGCAACCACAAAGGTGTAAACCTTTTTGGTCAAATTTCGTTAGCAAAAGATCTTTGCAATCCTTCAACAGCTCAGTACTGGTAGTCTGGTACCATGATCTCCCGGATTCAAAATCAGGTGCACTTCAATCAATCAGGGTTGTAGAAGCACTTAATGATATATATGAAGCAATAAAAATTAACAAATATGGAGTTTGCGCACTCAGTTTCTAGCATTTGAGACGCCTCCTTTTCAAGAGACATCCCCGTATTGAGGGGAAAGATACAGCTTAACCGCAAATACCACATTCATACTCAAACACTTGAATCCATACAAAAGCTTCGGATTTTCAACACATGGTATTTATACACACTGAACTGTATTAGCTCAAACATGGTCCATTCAGTTGTGGTCATCACCCATGCTCCTACTTGCTTCCCCACATGCCCCTTCACCAACAGTCAAGCTCTCATCCTCTTCAGGACTGCCTTCGTCATCCATCGTTCCCCTCTCCGCACTCACACTCCTTACCGTGGACTCAGCTGCAGGGCTCACACGGTTCTCCCTCCCCAGCCAAGTCCCTCCCCCCGTTCCCAGTACTCCAAGCACACTCCCTTGCTGCAATCCGCTCTCCCCCTCCCGCCTCACCACCTCCTCGTGCAGCTGCTTCAGCTGTGAGAGCACTTTGGCCATGGAGGGGCGCAAGGCAGCGGGCATGGCAGTGCATGCCAACGCCAGGGATGCAAAGCTCTTTATGACGTCAGCATGCACCATGCTGGCACCAGAAGCTGCAGGGGAGACCATCCGAGGGTCTATAATGGAGCTGACTGTCAGAATGTTATCTTATGCTCTAACCTGTAGTGGGGTGCTCTATAGCGAGTACAGCCCTTCTAGGGTTTGCTATTTGTATCCCCATTCTTGCTAGTGCAACCCCCTTCTCTTTTCTAACTTTTACATGCTATTAGAGCAGGTCGATCCCCTTGGATCGATCCTGTGGGTGGGCTTACCACCTCCTAGCTTCCGCTGCAACTCCTACCACTACACTCTGAGCCGCACGCCCCGTGGCGTGCGGCACTTTTTATTCCCGCCGTGCGCCCCGAGGCGTGCGGCGGTTTTCGGCCCGCCGTGCGCCCCGAGGCGCGCGGCGGTTCTCTGCCCGCTGTGCGCCCCGAGGCGCGCGGCGGGGTTCTGCCCCGTCGTTCGCCGCGTCGCCCTCTGGAGGCGCCGCGACGGGCGACGGGGACCCGTCTCGGCGCACCGAGGGCACGTGGACCGGCCTCGTCGCCCGTCCCCGTCGACCTGCGTGCGCCTCCCCGTCGCCCTTCGCGGCGGCCCCGTCGTCCCGCGCGCGGCTCCCCGTCGCCCTTCGCGGCGGCCCCGTCGACCCGCGCGCGGCTCCCTGTCACCCTTCGCGGCGGCCCCGTCGACCCGCGCGCGGCTCCTCGTCGCCCTTCGCGGCGGCCCTATCGACCCGCGCGCCGCCCCCGGGGACCCGTGCACCCATCCCCGTCGACCCGCGCGTCGCCCTGCGGCCCCCCTCCCCGCACACCTGAGTTCGATTACCACACATCCGAGTTCGCTTCCCGCACGCTTGTGCACGCTTCACGCACACCTGAGCTCGCTTACCGCACACTCAGGGTATGGGGGTGACGGGTATGGGGGTGATGGTTGTGGGGGTGTTGGTTGTGCGTGCCGTCCCCTTCTCCTCCTCCTCCTTCGTCTCCCACTGCTGCAGCTATCGCTGAGGGGGGTGGATGTGTGGGAGTCTGGGGTTTAGGGTTTAAGGGGGGTGCGTGTGAGTGGAGCTAGCGGTGTAGCAGCGGGTGCGTGCCAGGGGGAGTGGGATAGTGTGGGGAAGCTGTATGGAGGTTGCCGTCGTGTCGCCAGCAGCACCTGTATTCTGGGGAGTTGCTCCGGTAGCCCAGTCGTAGCCAGCTGTGCCAGCCGCCCGTGGGTCCGTTGCTCGTCTACCGCTACTTTAGCCGCGGGGCCAGTTACTCCAGTATTCCGGGGCGTTGTTCCGGTAGCCGCTGTGCCAGTGTGCCTCCTGTTGCCCGTGTGTCTGCAGCTTCAGCCGTCGCCTCCTATCTCCTCTCCCCTCACTCTCTCTCCTCCTCCTCACTTGCCCGTTGTGACTACCACTAGCTTTGCTCATAATTGTGAACCTTAAACTATTGCTTCTTGAACTTGTGCTCAGAATGTGTGGTGACATTGTGATCCACCCTGAGCTTGTACTGCTTTGCTTGCTCTGCTGATTACACCCCACTTTGGCTATGGGGGTGTGTCAGAATGTTATCTTATGCTCTAGCCTGTAGTGGGGTGCTCTATAGCGAGTACAACCCTTCTAGGGTTTGCTATTTGTATCCCCATTCTTGCTAGTGCAACCCCCTTCTCTTTTCTAACTTTTACACTGATGTCACCACTAGAGAGCTCTGCAGCTGCCTGTATGATGGAAGTGAGGGGGTGCGAGGGGAGGGACTTTTGACCCGACTCAGAAGTCATTGGGTGTAGCGAGTGGACTACGATATGCAGATGAGGGAAATTGACGACACGAAAGTGTGGGCTATCACAAGAACGGGGGAATTGGAGAGAATTCAGCAAGTGGACAGGTTGCGGCACAGGGATAGGACAAATGGCTCAACCAATTTTGGATGTGTAAACGCCAGGCATTGACTGAGAGGATGGGCGTTTGAGGTGCCTCAAGAATGACTCACCCAGTCCTGAATGTGCGATTTTGAGCCATCGATTGACAGGATTGGCCCTCTGCCAGTCAGAATCTCCAGCAGCAGCACTCCAAAGCTGAAGGGGAAAAGAAAGGCGGTTGTTCAGGAGAGAGGAAGGAGTGGTGCCCAACAAAAATCATTTTGATTAGTGGCTCCCTACCGGTCAGCATCTCCAGCAGTAGCACTCCGAAACTGAGGGAAAGAGGTGGGGTTGGTTATTCAGGAGAGATGAGTGGAGAGAGAAGTGGTGCTCAATGAAAAACCATCATTATTACTTTTGTCAACTCATGGATAGGTGGTCGGTCGGTGTATTGGAGGAGAAAGGAGTCATGTTCCACTAATATCCGTAGCAGCTGCTGCAGATCCACAGCTGGCAATGCTTCGACGCACACAAGCCAAGCACACACTTATTCACCCTCTGTAGTTTGCAAGACACCTTTGCATGTTGGTGGCAGACACAATGCAGGGATGACAAGATGTCGGGGTGCTATTTGGAGATTTTGAGGCGCCAAAAAAAATTCCACCCCATGCAGATCACAATACACTTTTGCGTGTTGGTGGGAGTGATGACAAGATGCCGTGGTGCTATTTGGAGTGCACATACATAGCCTGATGCTCCCATCACCCACGCCCACACAATGCGGCACCAAGGCACCACCACTGGTCAGCACCACTCACCTGTATACATCAGTGGCGGTGGTGGCAAGACGGGTCTGGTGGTATTCAGGGTCCACATAGCCCGGGGTGCCCATCACCCTCGTGATGTTCACCTGGGTCGCCTCCATCTTCCGCATGAACCCAAAATCCGCCACCTTCCCCTGCGCGACAATGGGTTTTGAAACGGTGCATGGCATGGCGATGGAGAGGGAGCGAGATCAGACAGGACAAGTTGAACAAGGTGGCACCTCAAGCTGTAGAGAAGGGTTCAGTGGGTCGCCTTCATCATCCCATGAACCCAAAATCCGCCACCTTCGCCTGTGAGGGTGGGTGGTGGTGTGGGGAGAGGGAGTGGGAGATGCGTGGTGTAAAGGTGTGTGGTTTAAAGAGCACTCTGAGGAAATTCGTCATTTGTCAAAAAATGTTTGAGGCGCTCTGGGGATGAGGAAGGAGGAGATGGACCAACCGGAAACCCGCAAATATTGGCGGCATGGGTGAACCATACAAGGTGCGTGGCATGGCAAAAGAGGAGAAGAGAGGTCACGGGAAGGGTAAAGGGTGGAGATTATGTCAACCCAAAATCTAGCACCTACGCCTGAACGGGTGGATGGTGTTGTAGGGAACAGGGAGGGGGCAAATGGGTCAACCGGAATCCACCACCTTTGCTTGAGAGGTGTTCTGCAAGAGATTTGTGTGCATGGCACAAAGGAGGAGAGGTGAAGGGGAGGGAAAATGGTAGGTTTGCAAAAAGAATGGGACACATTTATGGTTTCAGGGCCAAGTGTCAATGGAAGAATGAACAAGTAAATGGAACTAAAACAGGAATACAGTAATCCAAATCTGATGTAATACTATTGGATGACTCACCCACATGTCTCCATCCTGTTGTAAATGTACATTATATACAACATTCATAGGCTAGAATAGGTGTAGTCACTTATGTTCTTGGGAGGCTGGGTGTACACTCCAACCACACTTTGTGGTTGGTCAAGATTGTATTTGGTCTTGGTCCTTGGTTGGCACTTGCCAACTTTGGGTCCTACCACCAACCAATCACATCCTAGCTACATTGTGGGGTTTCCTACTCCACAAGGCACCTAACCCATTGGCCAACTTAGTGGCCAATAGGGTTAGCTCCTCCTCCACTCCTCTCTTCCTTGCATGCATGTACTATAGAGCCTCCTTGGCTCATTACTCAAACATTCTTGAATCCTTTCATGGTATTCAGAGCCAAATGTCTCACGCCACCTTCCCTCGATCCTTAGGCTGTAATCTCCTCTCCGCTCCTTTACCCTAGCGGACTATGGCCTACATCGGTCCACCCGCACCTTAGGTCTAGCCTCCTACGGCTCAGTTCCGCCCTCCCGCACCTCAGATCTAGCTTTCCGCGGCTTAGATCTACTCCTCCGCGACCTCAATCCTCCCTCCCGCGGCCTCAATCCTCCCTCCCGCGGCCTCAATCCTCCCTCCCGCAGCCTCAAACCGCTCCCCCGTGGCAGCAATCCTCCCTCCCGCCGCCACGCCTCAATCTGCCCGCCGACGCGTCCGACCTGCGCGCCGACGCGGGCGACCAGCGCGGCGACGCGGACGACCTGCGCGCCGACGCGGACGACCTGCGCGCCGCCGCGGACGGACAGTGCGCGGTCGCCGACGACCTACGCGCCGACGCGGACGGCCAGCGTGTGACCGCCGACGACCCACGCGCCGACACCGACGGCCAGCGCACGACCGCCGACGACCCGCGCGCTGACGCGGACGGCCAGCGCACGACCGCCGACGACCCGCGCACTGACGCGGACGGCCAGCGCGCGACCGCCGACGGCCTGCGCGCCGACGAGGACGGCCAGCGTAGAGCCGCGATCGACCTGCGCGTCGACGCGGACGGCCAGCGCGGAGCCGCGGCTGACCTGCACGCCCTCGCGGACGGCTGCCCGCGCTCGCCACGACCTCCCCCTTCACCCGCGCCCTGCCCCACGCTTCCGCGCCAACCTCCCTTCCCCTACTCCACCCTCCACGGCACCATCAGCGGCACCGTCAACGGCACCAGCAGCGGCACTGTCAACGGAACCAGCAGCGGCACCGTCAACGGCACCAGCAGCGGCACCGTCAACGGCACCAGCAGCGGCACCTTCAACGGCACCAGCAGCGGCACCTTCAACGGCACCAGCAGCGGCACCTTCAACGGCACCAGCAACGGCACCTTCAACGGCACCAGCAGCGGCACCTTCAACGGCACCAGCAGCGGCACCTTCAACGGCACCAACAGCGGCACCTTCCACGGCACCAGCAGCGGCACCTTCCACGGCACCAGCAGCGGCACCTTCACTGCTTCGTCATCATGGCGTCGGCGGACTCATCGGTCGACTTGGCGACCATTGACTCTCTCGAGTTGCTGGGCGACAACTCGGCCTCCAACTAGCACTCGTATGCCCACTCCGTTGAGGTGTTGCTCTCCTCGGTTGTTGTTAGTGGATATTCCCTTCGTTCCGTCGTGTTCCAAGAGGAGGGTGGACTCTAGCCAATCGCCCCTTCCGCCCCCACCGGACCTGCTCCCGACGAGCCCGGACCTGAGCCCTAGTGTGAGGATCTAGGATCGAGCTCAGAAAAGAGTGTTTGAATTGAATGATCACCTGGGTACAACATGAGGCTATATATAGGCTCGACACAAGGCAGGTAACCCAGGTGTTACGCGAATGTTCTAAGGGTCGCGAAGCGTCCCGAACAGAACCTTCCCGAACTCGGTAGAAAGCAATTCGGTGGCGACCGAATAGCTTGAGTTCGGTGCACGTAACCTGGTTCGGTGCCTATAACTATAATAACTATAGTATAGCAACGAACCTAGGAAATCAAGCAATTCATGCATGCAGAAAATAATCCTAAGCTAGGAATAGCGTAAGGAAATAATAGCAAGCATGAATAACAAGCATAAGCCGACGTACTCTCACACGTCCCCCCCTCAAAGCTGGGTGGCGTGAGATACACCCTGCTTGACAAGATAATCCTTCAGAGCACGGCGTGCATTGCCCATATCAGCTTCTACAACCCAACTGTCCTCAGTGGGGTCATAACCCTTCCAGCGTATCAGGAACTCGAGGGTCTTGCCGCCGCGGCGTCGATGAGAAAGAACGCGCTCCACTTCATATTCAGGTTCATCCTGGATGAGAACAGGAGGAGGTGGCGGAAGCTGCCGTCCCTGGAACTGTTGGTTGGGGTCCTTGTAGGGCTTCAGTAGCTGGACATGGAAAGCGTTGTGAAGCTTCCATGCATCTGGTAAGCGCAAGCGGAATGTAACTGGTGTCACCTGTGTCTCAACGAAAAAAGGACCACAGAAGCAAGGCCGGAGTTTGGATGGAAGGTGAGACAGGTTCAAGTTGCGCGTATCAAGAAGCACCTGATCTCCGACTGCTACTGAGTGATCTCGTCGCTGGCGATCGGCATACTGCTTCTGGGAGTTTTGCATCGTGGTGAGACGTCGCTGAGTCTTCTCCCATAGCTGCTGCATGGTGGTGACGAAGTCATGTGCGGCTTGGACGTGTGCCGGTGTGGTTGGCTGCTGTGGTGTGAGTGGTTCCCGTCCGTAACATAGGAAAAAAGGAGTTTTCTCTGTGGCCGCATGAGACGCGTTGTTGTAAGCGAACTCTAGGGTCGGTAACTGTGTGTCCCAGTGGCTGACGTCGTCTTTGCAAGCTGTGCGCAGTAACTGTTCAACCACTTGATTGAGTCGCTCTGTCAGCCCGACAGTCTGTGGGTGGTATGCTGAGGACATCGCCAGTTTAGTCCCCAATAATCCCATGAGCTCCTTCCAGAACTTACTCGTGAATTTGGGGTCTCTGTTTGAGATGAGTGTAGCGGGGATGCCGTGGATGGTGATGATGCGGTCGAAGAAGAGGCGAGCAGTTGCTTCAGCAGTAGCGGTGGCGTTGGTCGGGATGAAGTGACCCATTTTAGAGAACTTGTCGATCACCACGAGTATAGCATCATGCCCTCGTGAGGTCGAAGGGAGTCCCGTGATGAAGTCGAGGCTAACGACTTGCCATGGCTGCTCCGGTACGGGTAGAGGCTGAAGTAACCCTGCTTTTTTCTGCTTGCTACTCTTCATCCGCTGGCACGTGTCGCAAGAGGTGACAAACTGCTGCACGTCTGCTGCTATCCCGGGCCAGTAGTAATACTTCGCTATCCCTCTAACGTCTTGTTGCTCCCGAAATGTCCCGCGTAAGGTACGTCGTGAAACTCCTCCAATAGGATCTGCCGTAGCGGGCCGTAATTCGGTACCCAAATCTTTCCTGAACCCTTCCTTAGAGCTAAGTCTTTCTCCCACTGTAACAGCTTCTGTTTCTCTGCCGTTGCTATCTCGCCGTCCACGGAGTACCCATGTTGGAATAGACCCTTGAGCAGAGGGTTCATCCCGTTGAGTTGGATGCCTGCTACATGTCCTGGGCGGCTCAACGCGTCTGCTTTGTTGTGTAGCCCGGGTTTGTAGATGATGTCGTAGTGGAAGTGGGTCTCCAAGAAGTCCATCCATCGCACCTCTCGTCGTGAGAGTGTTGGCTGTGACTTCAGGTATTTGAGGCTGCAGTGGTCAGTATAGACTGTAGTCTTGGCTCCTTCTAGATAGCACCTCCACGCTTTGAAGGCTACGACTATGGCTAAGGCTTCCTTGTCGTGAATGGGGTAGTTCAGTTCTGCTCCGTGCAGTTTCTTACTAAGGTAGGCGATAGGCTGTAACCCGTTCCCGTGATCCTGCATCAGTACTGCTCCGACTGCCTGGTCACTAGCGTCAGCTTCAACTACGTAGTCCTTCTCAGGGTCTGGTAGGATGAGTACCGGGGCTGTGGTCAGTGCGGTCTGTAGCTGCTCCATGGCTTGCTGATGAGGAGTATCCCATTTGAAGGGTGTATCCTTTTTCAGTAGGTCGGTCAGTGGCGCTGCAATTTTAGCGTACTGTGGCACGAACCTGTTGTAGTAGTTGGCGAAGCCTAGGAACTGCTGCAATTCTTTCACGTTTTCCGGAACTTTCCACTCTTTGACGGCTTCGATCTTCCGCGGGTCCACGTGTACGCCCTCAGCACTCACCATGTGCCCAAGAAACTGCACCTTCTTCAGGGCGAAGTCGCTCTTTGACAGCTTCACGTAGAACTTGTTCTTCCGCAGGATCTCGAACACCTTCCGCAGATGCTCCACGTGCTCCTTCATGTTCTTGGAGTGGATGAGAATATCGTCCAGGTACACCACCACGCACTCGTCCAGCAGGGGCCGTAAGATGTGATTCATCTCCGCCTGAAACGTTGCTGGTGCGTTACAGAGTCCGAACGGCATCACCAAGTATTCGTAGGAGCCGTATCGAGTACGGAACGCCGTCTTGTGGACCGAGTTGTCTGCCATCTTGATCTGCCAATAACCCGACCATAGGTCCAGCTTCGAGAAGACTGTTGCACCACGCAGTTGGTCCAGTAAGTCGTCGATGCGCGGTATGGGGTATTTGTTTTTTACCGTCTGCTTGTTCAGTGCGCGGTAGTCGATGCACATCCGTAAACTGCCGTCTGGTTTTGGTGTGAAGAGAACTGGTGCGCCGTAGGGAGAGGTGGAGGGTCGGATCAGTTGTCTGTCCAGTAGATACTCGATCTGTTTCTTCATATCTGTCAGTTTGGTCGGACTTAGTCGGTATGGTGCACGTGAGACGGGTTTCGCACCTGGTTTCTCCACGATCTCGTGTTCGTGGGTGCGTGCAGAGGGTACGCCTGCAGGTAGGTCGTCGGGCATTGTATCCTTGTACTGCTCCAACACCTCCTTCACTGCTGCAGGTAGCTCCGAACTCGGCTTCTCCTCCTCTGCTGCTGCCATAACCAGTGCTAGGTAACCCGTGTTACTCTCGTTCACCGTCTGTTCGAACCGTGCCAGTGTCGTTTCAGGTACGTCCCCTGTATCCGTCCAGCTTCGCAGTGCTATCCATTTCCCATTGTTGTAGATGCACACCTTGCTGTTGACCCAATCGATCTCGGGGTTGAACCGCTTCATGAAATCTCGCCCCAAGATAAAATCTAACCCTTTGATGTTGGTGACTGGCAGCTTCGGTTTCCACCTTAACGCACCGATATGCAGCTGCAGTGATGCTTCGCCGTGGATAGGAAGCTTCGTACCGTCCACCATGGTTGCTGAAAACTGGGTTTCCTCCGCCTTCTCTCCAATTTTCTCCAATGCTCCGCGGTCACACACCGAGTGAGATGCACCGCTGTCCACCAGTGCCTGGAGGCGTCGCCCATTGCATAACACCTCGAGGAGTAGTGGTTTCTGCTGTGCTGAGTAGCCAAAGAGGGTCTCATTAATAGGATCATAGGGTACAGTAAAATGGATACCTTCCCTGTTTCCTATACCCGACTCAGCACTTTCCAACTTCACCTGGGGGGTAGGAGGATTTTTCCGAGGCTTGTATATCTTCTCCTGAGCCTGGAATTTTCCTCTAAGCCTTTGCAGCTGTGTAGGCTTCACCTGTGGGCAACGGGGAGCCTTAACACTCTGCTGCGGGGAGAGAATATTAACACCACGGAACGCACGACCCTTCTCTACGCTCCGTAATACTTTGCCCATATTTGCAGGTACCTGAATGACTTCTAAAGGCTTTTTCTTGGCCTCTAGTTCTCCCCTGAATTTTTCAAAGGCTTGAAAACCACGAGAAGCGATATTTTTCGTTAGAGTATCTTTATAGGATACTTTTAACGATTTCTTACTTTCGTGGGGGTCCGGCTGGAGTTTCCCGGTCGGTGCAGAGTCTTTTTTCGCGGAGCCACCAGTCGCCTCGGCGATTTCCCCTGATGCCGGCCGGTCGTGACGTTTTATATTCGCGCCATCATTTTCTCCTTTTTTCGCCCGCTCCGAAGTCGCCACGTCGTCGCCCTTTTTCGCTTTTCGGATCTTTACGCGATCGCCAGTTCGATCCGCGGCTACTGGCGATTCCCGTTTTTTTACTTCGGGGGTGCTCCACTGTTACCGTCCTGCATGATCGCACGTAATTTCTTCAACTTGTAGCATGACAAAATCTGATGCCCTGCTGCGCCGCAAAATCCGCATTTGGTCGGCTGTCGCTTCGCGTCGAATTTGTCGATATCCATCGGTTCGGCGAACGTGGGGGGTGCCGATCGCTCCGTGCCGAATGTACGGTTCGGCGTGAAACGTCGTGTTTCGGGTTGACTTCAGGTCAGCGCGTCGTAACGCTCGGCTGCACGCACGATGTCCTTGTAGCTTTCGTGATTTGACGCGATCACCTGCCGCTGAACCCCCAATTTTAACCCTTCTGTGTATGCCGTGATTTTTTCGCCTTCGGTCAGGTCGGGGATGCGGGTGAACAAGAGCTCCATCTGCTGCGTGTACTGCGCTACACTACCGTACTGCTTGTGCCGATGAATTTTTTGCCGCGCCATATAGGTAGTATTAACCGGTTCGAAACGACCGATAAATTCTGCCCGAAACTGCTGCCACGTTTTCTCCCCGCGGGCCACGTCAGTATTGTAGATCCACTCGAGTGCTGGTCCGCGTAACAGTGTTGCTGCGAGCCGGATTCGTGTTGCGTCGTATGTCGGGGTCGAACAGCCAATGG